CACCCCCCCCCCCCCCCCCTTATCTCCAGGTACTGTAGAGATAAGGAGGGCAGCAACTGCCGGCTCTGTCCATGCTCAGCTAGAGCTGGCCCCCGCTGGCAAGGGGTGTGTGACTGGCACAGTTTGAATCCTAGCACTCCCTGCAAAACAAGGGGTGGCCCCGTGTTGTGCAAGATGCAGCTGCCTCCCTTCTCCTTACACCGACTCTTCAGGCTCTATTTACCGACACAGCACTTCCCTCCAGTGCTGCGTTGAGGGGCCTGCCTGGCCTGTCTCTATTCTTGGCAGCAAGCAGTTGATTTCGTGCTTCCCCTCGTTGCCCTGCAGCTGAGGGTGATGACCAGGTGAGGAATGTGGCTCCAGACTGATCGGAGCGAGATGTGGTTTCTCTTCCGTTCCTTTCCAGGCCTGTTCTTTTCCAGTGCTTCAGGGCTATTAGAAAGGCTACTAATTAGAGCTGGCCATTGCTGTTATCGTTCAGCATGCAGAGCAATGTGCTACATCTTCAAAGCAAACTTAAAGCAGCAGCCAGTTGGGACTCTCCAGTCTGGACATGAACAAGCTTTTTCCTCCCTGCAATCTTCTTAGCCTCCCATGTAGGGACTGTGGGTGGGGAGGAGAGAAGCAGAGAAGAGGCACGGCCATTAGGACAATACTTAGGCTGGGAGGCTGGAAGGGATCACTTGGGTTCTCCTGTTTGATGTCAGGCATGCTCTAAGGCAGAGCTCGCACTTTAGATTCTGCATCGCACCCAGTTGGTGCTGATATAGCCAGAGTCCATCTGTTAGGAAGACCCGACAATCTCGTATGGGATGGCTGCATAGGGTTTTAGATTTCCCTCCCCTCTGCTACCTGGCTAGGCTTCATCCCACCTGGATGAAGAGACCCAGCTTGTTCCAGGAGGTGGCTGATCGGCAGGGAGATGCAGGATACTAGCCCGGTGGTGACAACACCCAGTCTGTATTTTATTGCAGCTTTGCAGGAAGAGTTGTATTTATTAATTCCACGGGAAAAAAAAATTGGCATCTTTTTTGCTTGTAAATAGGACATTTGGGAAGCTTTGGAATGGGCCTGGCTTCAATTGGAAACATCCCGTCATGGCTGAGTTGCAAAATTCAGCTTTGCAAAATCAAAGCAAAACCCACTCTTTATTTCTGGTGTTGCTGGAGGTGGCTGGGAGGGGCTGCTTTCTGCTACGCTTCCGCCTTTCAAAACTCCTGCGATCTTACCTAGCCCTGGTAAGCGCCGTGCAGTGCTGAGCACCTGCTGCTCCCATTCCTGAGCATCCGCCAGGATGGAGTGCTTTGAAGCTGCGACAACCTTTCCGGAGGACCCAGCCCTTTCCTGCTGGGCTGTAGTAGACTGGAAGCACTAATTAGAGTCTGATTGGGTGTAGGGAACGTGCCTGTGATTCACAAAAAGGCCCATGCATCAGTCCCAGCTGCATTCCCCAGCCACAGCCCCATGGCAGAGCTATGAATGAACCACCCTTCCCAGCTCAGTGCAAGTTTTCTGTGCTAAGGTGAAGAGCCAGCTGCTGGACTGGCCCCAGTGCTGATTTTAATGACTAGTTTGAGCTCAGGTGCTCCAAAGCTCAAGGCAAAATGGGTGTTTAATGACTGGCTAGGAGGACTTGTGCCTCAATATCATAATCATCCAGTGCTTGTTATGTATGTGCTGTGCCCGCTGCTGTGCTAGCTGAGCTCTGTGCAGGAATTGATCTAACCCACTGTGCTGTCCCAGAGGAGGATAGGGGCAGTGCCATCGTTGCCATGTCACAGAGGGGAAACTGAGGCACAGAGCACGTTGCCCGTGGTCACACTAAGAGCCTGGGGCAGAGCAAGGGATTGAACCCAGCCCTCCCAAGTCCAAGGCCACCCAGCTATTGATCTGTTCCCATTCTAGTGCTAATGCACTTTGGGCTACAGGTCTCAATAGAGACCTCATTCATACCAAGGGATTTAGCCACTGGAGTAGCTGTGCCAAAGCACCCAACACTTGGCTGTGACTGTGCTGTGATGGGCCCCAAGAGGGAATGACTTCCAGAATAAATGACTTCTCCGTAGACATTTTGCTGTTCAGCCCTTGCATCAAATGTGAGGTCGGATGGCCGTGGGGGCTTGGGGCATCTTAGATACGTAAGAAGGACGAACCTCAAGTGTCCATCCCCAAATCAAATATGGCACTGCACACCCATGTGTCATGTCCCCTATACAGGCAAGGGAGAGTGTCCTTTAGCTCAGGCTCCAAAGATGGGTGCTATTGG